AAGCACACTCGCTGTCATTGCATCTTTTGGGGCAGGGTTGTGTCCGTGTTGGCTTCTGTTTGCAATTCTCCAGCTGACTCCCCAGCCTCGCCTCGGGGAGTTGCTGTTTCTTACATGACAAAAAAGAAAAAGGAAAAAAAATCCCCCGCCCTCTTTTTGTTTTAATTTATTGGTTCAAGCTCTGGTGAGGTGTGTAAGAGTGTAAATATGTACGTGTGTCTGTATGTCTGCAAACATCCTAAGGGACTATTTGAATAAAGACTCTGGTTGTCATTCAACTTGCATCCAGCTCATCCTTTCCAAAGATGTACGGTGAAATCCTCTGGCTGCCTTTGCCCTTTGCTCGAGCGTTTGTAAACACTGCCCTAGCCCAAGGCATGGGGAAAATGGGGGCATCTCCTCTTCTACCTCTAGAAAGTGTGGTGTGACAGCCTTGTTCTGTCTGCAGCAGCGATGGGGACAGCACATGTGCCATGTGTGGCTGCAGTGGCCGGACCTGCTTTGTCCTGAAGCTGTAGCAGGGAGAGGTCTCTCTTCTCCCCCTTAACCTGTACACAGCCCTGCTGCATAGGAAAAAGAGGAGAAGGATGGGGACTAATGCTGTGCTGAGCCAAATTCCCAGTGCTGGTAGGTGTAAGGGATCTGAGGAGGCTGAGGGCTGGGCTGGGGGCTCAGGTGGGATACTGGGGACAAGTTTGAATCTCTGCCTGGACCAAGACCTTCCCCAGACCAGTCTCAGGAGCTAGGGCTGCATTGCTGTCCCTGTAATTAAATTGTTGGTGCCTCATGCCTGCAATGAGCTTTGCAGAGAGCATCGCTTAGTGAGGTCCTCCTGTGAGCAGAGCTGGGTTGCTCTTCCCGCAGCCACCTTGGCAACCTGTTGTCCCCAGCCTCTCACTCAGTCTCTTGCTATCAGTAACTTCCCTGGAAGCTTCGTTACAGCAATTGCCACCAAACTGGCTCCTCTGAGTCACCTTCTGGGAAGTTGGCACCCATCCTGACCCCTCTGCTTTTCCCTCTCTCTGCAGGTTGATCCCTGGCACCCGATGGCGCTTGCCTCTGCCCCGCGGTCCGGCAGCATCCCACCCGGAGTGGCTGCCACTTCCCA